CAAGTAGCTCTCTTGTTCCACTGCTGTAGGCCATAGGAGTGTACAGCTGTACACAAGTTACTCCTCTTCTGATGAGAATAGCCATGCACCCTATAGGGAAGAGTTGAAACTTCCCAAGGCAAGCTGACTCATTGTCTCCTGACACGCATCTTTTTTTCCCTCTACTATTTCTGCTCTCCTTTTATCAGACCAGCAGGTTGTTCCTATAGATTGGCCCAGCTCCTACATGAGCAATATAGCAGACCCACAGGTAAGCATTAAACAATGACATGTACAGCATATGGCCTGGTAGATGGGAAGTTTTCTCTGTGACATTATTTATCAAAGTAATGAGTTGCTGGATGGCTTAGATGTCACATGAAGACACCGGTCAGTGTGCCATTTCAACTCAAGCATTCTCTTAGGATGAGGTGAGCCAGAGGGTGATGTCCATTTCCTTGGCCAGCTTGTAGTCTGATTTTGCCAGCATCCAGCATGTTTCCTTGAGTGGGTCTCTGAAGACAAACCAGGTGGTGTTAGCTTACAGGTGGACTTTGTAGGTGGCTCAGGAAGTGGGTGCAAGACACTATTATCCTGAATTGGCCTGAATAGTTTAGTTGCTGCTCACACTACTCTATATGGGGACAGAGTCCTGGGCCATAGGGAGGAAGGTCACAGCATCCTTTCAGCTTTCTGAAGGGTCATGTATTCTTATTAACAGGGCTCATGTGGCAAAGGGAATTCTGTAGAACGACTACCTTTGAGCAAAATGATTGAGCTGGCAAATAATTATTCAATTGAGAAACTCTTGAAGGTATTGCACTGGATTTTGCTTTGCCTTATATCTTTTTATTTTATTTGAATAGCAGTTATGTTAAGAGATGGGTTAGGATGGAATTCACCATTCATATAAATCCATTCATTGTGTGAGGTTGACTCATTTACAACAACATATGGAATTGTGCTGATGACACGTATTTTCCTAAGGGGAAGATTTAGGAATAGCCCTGTGTGTTGGCCAGGTTCATGTGAAACACCCTTGGTAAAGCTGGGCACACGGAGTCAATGACTAGTTCTTGGTGTTCAGCCGTTAATCAGCAGTGAAGAGGCATGGACTACCCGAGGGGGTTGGGTGGGGGGGTGCTGCTTCACATATGCAGATCAAATTACAAGTAGATGGCTTAGGGCTGTGGTGCCCTTGGTTGTAAACCTGAGAGCCCCTCCTTACTTTGCTCCCACTCCATCTGACCACCCTCCCTCATGGAAAGGCACAGGAAAGAATGCTTCCAGGTAGTACTAGCGTCACAGAGGCCATTCTCCAGCAAGACCTCCAGAACCTCTCTTCTCTTGCTGTACCTCCTGCCTCACTGTTTCCATGGAGACTGGATGCCTTCTGAGCACTGTGATTTATCTGGAGTCCAGCCTTCAAATACCTTAGTATAGTCTAACCCACTCACTCCCCTGGCTCTCCAGACTGTGAAAATATCTAAGCTAGATGCCTTTACTCAGATAGCACAGGGGTCTTTTTGCCACAATCCACTGATGGTCGGAAACTTCTTGTTGAAATCCTGATGTGGGGGTGAGGTTCCATGGTGGTCCATGTTCCTATTTTGTGTGTGTGTGTGTGTCTGTGTACTAGGGTTTGAACTCAGGGCCTACATTTTGAGCCACTCCACCAGCCCTTTTTGGTGAAGAGTTTTTTTTTTTTTTTTGCGATAGGATCTCTTGGAACTCTTTGCCCAGGCTGACCTCAAACCATGATCCTCCTGATCTCTGCTTCCTGAGTAGTCAGGATTACAGGCGTGAGCCACTGCCCAGCCCTACTTTCTTTTCTAGAAGAGAAGACCTGATCTTCACTACTTATAGAAGGCAAAGCCACAGGGAACCTAGACAAAAGGCTGGCAGAAGAGGTGAGCATGGCATGGCCCTAGGGAGTATTTGATCAAACTAGCAAGTGGACCTGGGGAAGGGTCCAGGGGAAAGAAACTAGTGAGCCCAGACTTGGAGAAAGGAGTGGGTGGGATCCTGCAGCACATGCAGAGCCTGAAGAAGCTGGAGGAGGTCTCTGTACTCAGCTTTGATTAACTTCTCTGCTTCTTTCAGCCACCCATTACCCAAAGCCACACCACCTCAGAAATCCATACTATCATATTCCCCAGCCATAACATTGATCTAGAAGCTCTTATGCTTGCTTTCTGTTATCCTTCCCTTTTATTCCTGTCAGATCATTTACCAAAATTCATCAATGGCTAAAATTTGTACAGTTTCTGAATGTTAAAACCAATTCCTGGCTGCATTCTCATCTCAGCGAGTCAGAGATAAAGCAGGATCTATTGTCTAGCTTTACTGCCTCTTCTGCTCATATCTGGGGCTTGAGTTGCCAGGCAGCCACCTTGCAACTCCTCTTATTGCTGAGATTCTAAACTGGCACAGGGATTGTCATTTTTCCAGTTCTGATTCCATCATCTGTTCCAACATACTCACCTTTGGTTTTTTTTTTGGGGGGGGCAGCACTGGGGTTTAAACTCAGGCACAAGGCAGGTATTCTACACTTGAGCCATGCCTCCAGCCCCTTTTGCTTTAGTTATTCTTGTAGTAGGGTCTCATGTTTTTGTCCAGGGCTGGCCTCAGACTACCATCCTCCTACCTCTAGCTGAGATCCGAGGTGTCCACCATCACACCAGTACTCATCTTATTTCTTAGCATTGCCTCTCTTCCTTTATTTGCTTCCTCAGACCTCATGGTATGGCTGGCTGGGCAGCAGGATTGGTCATATCTAGCCTGTTCTTCAGAGCATCATTTAGACAGAATGGAGAGATCCATTCAGGATCTTTCTGTGAGGTCTGGAAAGTTCCACATAGGACAACCATTTCTGACATTCTCACCTGGTCTCCATCTCCCAGATAACCTCAGAGAAGTCCCGACTCTTGTGGCCTTAGAGTTCTGCCTTGCTTCACATAAGCAATGGACCTCCTTCCTATTTCTTTATACAAGAAAATGTCTACCTCAAGCCTTCTTATAACCCCTGACTGGGGTGTGGGTCTTTGTTCACCTTACCTGAGAGGTCTTCCCTGGCACAAGTAACTTCCTTCCACAGCACTCTCTGGACTCTTACATACTTCAGTTCTTTTCCTGAAACTATCTTCAAAAATTTATTTTGTCTTCTTAGCCCAACGAAATGTGAACTCCATTAGAATGGACTCTCTTTTGTTTACTTCTGAATGTTCCTTAGCATATAGTAGGCCTCATTAAATGTTGAATATGTATTTCTACTGCATGGAGTTTTTGGTGTTTCAGGTTGACCCACCTACAAGGGGTAGGATTAAGGGTGTAAAGTCATGCAGCAGAGAAGTCTTGCTAAGAGTTGCTGTGTTCTGTTTGAAAAGTCCAGATTTGTAGCTTCACTTCATGAGTTGTGGGTAATTGAAAACTAGCCTCTAAAATGGCCTACAGTGATCTCCTCTCCTAATATCGTTCCTGTTTAGCTACCTCCCATCCTAAAGAGGACTGACTTTTGTAACCTATAAAATGTTATGACAATGATGGCATGTAAGCAATATGCTTTGTCATAAAAGATGTTGTGGCTTATGTCTTTAACTTTCTTGGATCACTAGCTCTGAGGACACATACCCACCCAAGTAGCCCATGAAGAGAATGTCATGGTGAGGGACTGGGCCCCCTGCCAACAGCCAGCACAAGTGAGTGCACCATCTTGGAAGCATATCCCTCCCAGTCAAGCCTTCAGATGATGCAGCTCTGCCTGACATCATTATTACAAACTCACAAGAGACCCTCAATCCAGGAGCACCCAAATTCCCAACCCATAGAAACTATATGAGATAATAAATGTTTATTACTGTTTTAAAATGCTAAATTTTCATGTGATCTATTTCACAACGATAGAAAATTATCATGAAGTGAATGACGCAGGGGCTGGAAATCCCAGGTTTGAGTTGATATGAGTGTCTCTAGGATTGTATTTTTCTGTGGTTAACTGTGATCCCATTTCCCTTCTGGAGCCAACTGGTCCCAATTTGATTCGGCAACTCTTAGTAGCCACAAATGCCACCTGTATCCTCAATAAACTTTATTTAGACACAAAGAGACACAACAGAAAATACATACACAGATACAGATATTATTTTTCTCTATAGGATGAACAAACATCACATAGGGAATTTAAAAAGTAGGTGCATGGAATGTAAGACAATATTGCAGACTTCCTTGTTCACTCACACTTGAAACAGACACGTATTTCAGAGGAACACAGGAATATACTATCCCGGCAACAGGATTCACATTTGGTCTGTAACAGCACACAGGTGTTGGGAAGATAATCAAAGGAGTTGGGGATCCAGTTACTGTTGGTGTGACAGAATGCTCACAACACTAGTAGGATTCTGTTTAAACAAGAGCCAGAATCAGGGAAGATTCCATACTCCTGCACATATGCTCTGCAAGCTGTCAGCTAGGTTGTAAAGCAGCTGGGCAGAAACGCTAGGTTAGCTTTCATCTTGCAGCTTGAAGGTCTGTATAACCTCTACCTTTGTGTCCACATCACAGAGGTATACAGAGACACACTTAGGATGCTGAAACTCTCCACATGCACGCTGGCTTAGAAACCCATGTACAGAACATTGACATGAGGTTATAGACTGTGGCTTTCCAATGGGAAGGGAATAATAGCCAACAGGTGAACACACGCTTTGCAAATGCTGCTGCATCCATTGTTGGTGTTTCCCACCATGCTGCCTTGGTCCCCTCCCACAGGCAGCCACAAGCATCTGCATCCTGCTCCTTGCCATGGGCAGAGTGGGATGGATGTCTCTTGGAAGTCTATCACCCTCTAAAGTCACACCTGTGATCTCCAGGTCTCTCCTGTCCCCAGGACAAGATGCCATGGAACCACCCACTTATTCCTGTCCTGGATAAGCCTCTGGCCTCCACACCATCTTCACACTTCAGATTGGGGGTTCCCTAGGCAACCTCTGTATTTTAGTAAAAAATGGTTTCCACTGTACCCTTCGTGTGTCCTCTTCCTAATGTGACAAATCCAGATGAGATGAAGTTATGGAGATCTGGTCCTCCACTTCGGTAAGCATCCTTCCCATAATGCCCTGCAAGAAGATGGGGCAGAATTACCTGACGCATTCTCAACACCCACACAGAAGACAATCACAGCTCCATCTCACCCAACAATGATGGCGTGCTCATGTTCAAACCAGCAGCTAAGCCAGAAGGTCCAAGTAGTCCAGCAAAAAATATAACATATAATATATATATAATATATATTACTGAGAATATATTTCTATATATATAATATACAGAGATACACATATATACATTACATATAATAGTATATATGTCAATATATTACTGTGCAAGAATAATGTTATGTTGAAAAGAGAGGAAGGAAAAGGAAACACATGGCTTGATCTTGGTATTTCTGACTGAGCACAAACCATAACAGAACATTGCTACTTTGTAGGTGTTCCTCAGTTTACAATGGGGTCAATTTCTGATCAACCCATGCCAACTTGAAACATCATAAGTCAAAAATACACATAACGCACCTAACCTACTGAACATCCCAGCTCAGCATTGCACACTGGAGAGGGTCGGTTTTTCCCCACATGAGCCGACTGCTGTGGCTCGCTGCCACTGTCCAGAATCACAAAGACATCATAGCATATCCTGCTAGTCCAGCAAAAGAACAAGATTCAAAATTTGAAGTCTGATTGCTACTGAATGTATACTGCTTTCTTTTATGCCATCATAAAATCAAAAATCACACATAGAACCGTACTAAGTTAAGCCCTTCTGTACTTGTCCAACCAACCTTTCTTCTGTCCTACCTTTCTTCTTTCTTGTTCTTCCCTTGTACATTTGCTTTCTTTCTTTCCTAGCATGAAGGAGTGGGCTTGATGGGGGCTACTTTGTGTATGTGTATATTTCTGAATCATACATTTCCTATGGGGCTATAGACTAGTAACTTAAGAGAAATTCAACAACAGCTGAGGCTGACAAGTAGAATGGAGGTTATAGAACACTGGGAAAATATTTATGTGTTTTCCTTTCTTGATTTTCCACAATAAAACCACATTCCCCACCCCCCATCTAACCAGATGCAGACATCTACCTGTGGGGTTGAGGTAAGAAAAAGACAGGGCATGTTAAGGGCTGTGGGAGAAGAAATTCAGAGAGAAAGAAGTTAATATTTCACTTCTAACATTCAAAATAGGATTTTACAATATGCTTGAAATACAGGTATTGTAAAGAAAGAAAGAACTCTCTAAATGCTAACCTAAAGTATGCACATGCAAAAGTGAAAAGTCATGCGGTCACAAGTGCATACTAAAAAAATTATAATTATTATAATGCATGGAATTACTTTAGATATATAGTTAAAAGTAGACAGAAAATGATAGATTAAATATGATACCAGTGCTGTAAAATTTCAAACCAGTGAATAGAAAAATTGAAAAGATTGAAAGAAAACCACAGCTATTGACACCTTCCCTTGGATAGTTGGAACATGAGTTTTAATTTATTTCTCCTTTGAGCTTTTCTATATTTTACAAGTTTTTTTCTACAATGAATATATGATTTTGCTAATATAAACAGGTAAAACAAATGTCCAACAGAGAAATTCATGACCAATGCAAACACACGCCAAATCAATTTTTCTTAGCAGGACACTCTCTGGGTCAGTAGATCTCAGCCCAAGGTGCACAGTAGAACCATCCAAAGTTCTTCAAAATACAATAGCTAAAGCAACTCCAGACATCCTAAGTCAGTCTATGCAGAGTTCTGGCACAGACAGGGTATTTTGAAAGTACTCTCTAGGTTTCTAATGTAGAACCATCAGTGAGACTCATTATCCTAGCACAAGGGGAGAAACCAAGTTTTAACAAGTTGACTTTATTCAGGTGGGTTCAGGGACATTTGCTGGACCGTCTTAGGTGCTATTTACGTGCCAGGCTCCAGCCCCCTTTCTCTGGAGGGTGAATTCTGGCTACTCTTCCTTCCTTCCTAGCCCAGATCTCAAACCTGAGCATGTATCAGAATACTCAGGAGCACTTCAAACCAATTGTTGGGCCTATTATGCCCAGAGATCCTGATTCAGTAGACTTGGTACAGAGCACAAGAGTTTGCATTTCTTTCAAGGTCCCTGAGATGCCAGAGCTGCTACCCAGGGACCACACTTAGACAATGGCCACCCAGGGCATGAGCACCATGAGAATTTTGCTACTGCTTCCTTGACTCCAGAATACATTACTCCATTTTTCAGGACTCACAGCTTTCCACAGGGAACGTTCTTTCTGAAAAACTCTGTGGTCACAACTCATAGGTTCACACAATTGTCAGAGCAGAATTAAAGGTTTCTGCACATATTCCACACTGTGTGACAGCTCCAGATGTACTCTGGGACCTGGAGAAATGCATCTTCCCCAGAGGGAGAAGGGATGTGTGGAAGCTGCACTACCCTGGGGAACACTGAGACCCTCCTCTGTATCAAACACCGTCAGTCTCTGCCCACCTCACCCGGTCACAGAAGAAAAGGAAGTAACAATTCAGAACCCTCATAAATTTGGGCCTCATTAATTCAGAACCTGTGATACATCCTGCAGAATCTGGGCTGGTTTATTTCTGTGCTTTTTATAAATAAAATTTTTGATAAACAAATCAATACCAAAGACGATGGAACATAAAACAGGGCCTGTGCTATTTACAAATCATTCTTATTTGTCAGCTGTAACAAGGTCTCTTAGGACTAAGCATTGCTCTAGTGCTTTGGGGCTTGTATGAAAGAGAACTTGTTTCTGGATCACCTACTGTGAGCCAGGCAGAGGAATGGAGCCTCTGAAAATATAGGGTTTTTTTTTTTTAAATAATAAGAGCTGACATTTTATAGTACATTATAGCTTATGGAGATTTCTTACAAGCACTATTAATTTGCATTTTAATCATTACTGCCTAGTAGGTTGTTGGTTATTGTCTCCCATTTTATTGATGGAAAAACACTTGCATCCAGCAAGTAGATGACTGAGCCAGCACTTACATCTAGGCCTCAGACTCCAAATACAATGGTCATTCCATGGTGCACATTTGGCTTCATTTATTCCTCAAGAGAACCCCTTGAAAAATGGTCACTTTACCAAGCTCATGGAGCTAGTCAGTGACTTATCCTGTATCTAGCTGCCTTCCAAACCCACAACATTCCTACAACCCTCACTCCCATGGCCTGAGAAATGAAACTATATCTTTCCTCTGAGATTGTACCTAAAACACGAAATAGAAGTGTTAGGTCAGGAGAATTCCACTTGGTAACATCCAAGTTTATAGAAGTTGAAGCTCAGTTGTTGAGTTTCAAGTCCTTGGGGTCTGAGTGTGGGGAAAAAAGCAAGAACACTGAGGCAGAAACAACAGCATTGGATGGGAGTAAGGAACTCTGCAGTCAAATCAGTTTGGAAAATACTGAGTTAAATCAAATGAAAAGCTACATGGAAACCAAATCTAAGGTCTTCTCAGAGGCAATCAGCAAGAAACTCTCTATGGAGTCCTTATGTTTCAAAGGTATCTCCAAGGACTCATTTTGGGAAAACTGCCAGGAGATTAAGATGGAAAAGCACAGTGACAGCTTCGGTTTTTGTGTGAGCTGAGGTCCTCAAATATGTGCCCAACTACCCTGTGAGTTGGGCTCAAATATGTGCCCAACTACCCTGGGTGGCACAAATGTTGCTAGGCTCCCACTCAGAACTCCTGATCTACAAGGTCAGAGATGGAGCCTGATAATTCCACTTTTTAACAAATTCCCAGGTGATGCATCTGATACTCTTTGGTCCACGGTTCACATTTTATGAACCATTATGTTAGAACTAATGACAGGTCATCCTTCAGCGGGACCTGAGGCCAGGTCTAGAATGATTTACCTTCTCTGCACTTTCCAAAGTTTATCATGTACAACGGCATCATGAAAGGATAAACAGTCCCTAAAAAGAGGAGCCCCATGCAGAAGAGAGAGGAGTCAATGTCTCTTGTGTTTCTTGGTGATGTATAGACTTTGATTGGTTGGTGATATGAAAGATAAGAATCTGTATCACTGAATTCATTAGCTGTAACACAAAGAACTGTCCTGCAGCAACTACCCCCAAGTCTCTGCCAGCTATTAGGACCAGAGGACAAAGTAGTACAAACTTTTACCGAATTACCATTCCAGAGAAACAGCCACATATCCAGCAGAACTCTAGGCAGAAGTAAACAAGAGCTTTGTGAAGCACCCCAGTAAAGTAGCATGAGCATTTGCCACATCACAGACAGACCAGCACACAACCCATGCCAGGAGTAGAGGTGGTTTCAGGCTTCAGAGCATGCCTGGCACCACCTGCTACACCTAACTCTGAGAAGCAGCATATGGGTGACATCTCTCCAGCCAGTTCTGCAATGAAGACTCTCATCTTCACCACTGACAGCCCTCCACAAAGCAGCAGAGGATTTAGTGTAGCTCAGTCTCTGTTCAGGCTGCCTTGACCTCCTGAGAAAATTCCATGCCCTTCCCAAATCTCAGCAGAAGCCCAAAGTCAGAGGGACAGAGGCAAGGGACACAGTTCCCAGGCAGGAAGAGATTAAAGCAGAGAGGTCCCAGGCTGAGTTCCCTGGAGTCACACAGTGCTGCTGGCTCTGATAAGGAAGAAACCAGAGAGAAAGTCTCTCTGTGAAGGAGATTTGCTACAAGAAATTGGAGGAAAAATGAGATACTATCCAGATGGTGATCTCCATAAGACTCAACAGAATTTTTTGCATCTGTGAAATTAGATTAAAGTCCTGGGAAGGAAACAAACAAATCAGGACCATTTGCCTGGACTTGCAGATCTGAACCACAAAATGGATTCAGAGGGAAACTAGTGAAGTAGAATCCAATGAGAAATGCACTACACACTCAGTAGGGAAAGACAAAGAGATGAACACTGTGTGAAAAAAGACAGGACACAGTGGCCAATTCTAGGACTCACAATCCACTCAAAATAAGACTCCCACAAGAGAGACAGAAAGGACAGCTCAGAAACAATAATTAAAAGTTCATAGTTTCTTTTTTTCTCTGAGCAGATAGGAGATT